AGAGTGTATTTGTTTCATATATTTCATATATATAGACAAATAAAACATGTAACACTGGGTTAAAGACTCAACATTTTATTGCACTACAGGCTGTTTCATGAGGGGTGCCTCAATCATCAGGTGCTAGGCTCTGAGTGAAGGAATAATGAAGTTCATAGATTGTCTATTGTTATGGATAAAAGAAAGCCTACAGGATTAAGTAGTATATCGTAACAAGAACTTGCGTCTATGTCTACATGAACTGAATAATTCGTTCGTTATTTTTTTAAAATAAAAATAGGCCTATGTTGATGATTGAAAAAAAAAAATCAGAATTTCCCCAAGTGATGAGGGAGGGGGTGATAAACTAATAATTTTTTTGTGGGGCCTAATCATGGGCTAAACACTGCCCATAATCAGGCCCGATTTGCGATTCGTTCGCCTCCCTCCCCAGGCAACAACTGTCATCAACAACAGGTCTTGCCTAAAAACGAGCCTACGATAACATGTTCGCTACTTTCGCAAGCTAATAAATATAATATCAGTTGATTACTATTATTGTCTCTATTTTGAATATTGTTTTACTTCAACAACTCGATGAACTTCTATATCATCATCTGAACTGTGGGCCGGCATAGGCTCATCAGTGTATGTCTCAAAATGGCTCATTTAAAACGATTTTTTCGTGTGTTGAAATATATGTTTTCTGCGGCGAAGATGATTATGTAAAAGTATTGTCCATTGAAAAATGTTTCTTATCTGACGTCACGGGGGTACATTCCAGCCGGCCAGTTTCTAAAAGGGGCAGAGCTTAGGACATTTTAGTTTAATCGCCGTATTTTCAGTATTAGTGATGATTTTTAAAAAAAATATTCGTAGTTAGGCTCTTTAAAAACGACCCAATGGCCAAGTTTCCTTATCTGAAATGCTTCGGCCATGGATCTGACTGGGAACTGGTTGCATTGCTGGTCTCCTGCTGAAAATGATTGAACCTCCACACTATCATCAAATGGATTTGCAATCCACCTCCCTTAAATGAGAGCCACTAGTGAGTTGCACGCATATTCTAACTATCAGCACACTGGTATAATGTACAGTTAAACCCTGCCACTTGGATATTGTTGCTAAGGTAAATGTAAACATGTGTTTGAGATAAATGCATATTCATGGACGTGTTATGGTTGGTCAGTTGTTACATGCGATTTGCTTAGTATAATTACTGTCATTAGTAAATAATAGACTACAAATACTGAATTGATTGGTTTATCAACATATATTTCATCTACATATTCATGATAACAGGTGGATCTGCAGTTGGTGGTGTTTTTGATTCAACCGATGATGGTGAATCCATAAAAGTTGTACAAACGGCAATTGAAAGCGGTATAAATTTTATTGACACTGCACCTTGGTATGGAAATGGAAGGTCAGAGATGGTCCTTGGAAAGGTATTGAATTATTGAATATTTCAAACTTTTAGAGAAAAATATAAAAATGATGAGAAATATGATTACATAAAGATATACTGTACAGTTGAATCACTCAGGATAACAAAAGTTATCAACTTCAGCATAAACATATGTCACAATTATATGATTACCGTTATTGAACATACTATCAGGTACAACAAAGGATTTGGACCCAAACCACAAATGAGTGGTGGTCCTTAACCACAGTTTACTCGCATTCATAATTTATCTACGACCATTAACAGGGGTCCCAAGTTTGCCACAAGTCATGGGAGTATTCTGGAAATTAGGGCGCACTCCCACAACTGGATAAGAATCTCCAGAAAAATAACCCATGGCCCACAAATTCATTAAATATAATTTGTATTTGGACAATACACCGTAGGCCCAGTGTACAAAAATTTGGCTGCAAAATCTTTGCACTTAAAAGAACCCAGTACATCTTTCGAGATGAGTAGGGGGTAACCCCAGTGTGCTGGTCCATACAGCCCCTGTTGTGGACAGAAGAGACTTGCTGGTACCGGTTTACTGGGTAGCTCAGATATGAAGAGACCCTTAGTGGAGAAGAAAGTCATTGAAGCAAGTTACAGCTAGTCCACAGTGTATCCTCTGGAAAAGGCGCTATATCATATACCATTACCATTTTATTGAGCTTTAGTTAAACTAACAATGGAATTTTTAAATATTATTTTTTAGGCATTAAAAAATATTCCACGAGAAGCTTATTACATTTCAACCAAAGTGTGCCGATACAAACCTGACGTTTCCCAGATGTTTGATTTCTCAGCTGAGCGGACGCTACAGAGTGTCGATGAAAGTCTGAAACGTCTCAGCTTGAATTATGTGGATATCATTCAGGTTTTAATAAATATTTATATATTTATTATATTTAATCATTTGTATTATTCTTGTAATACCTTGTGTAATAGTAAATTTTAATAGTAGTCACACTTTAAATGTCAGTACTGTATATTTTTGTAACTAATTTTGTTTTATTACTGCAATTATTATTTTTATATTTGGATCTTATCATGTTGGCCTTTTGTAAATTAGGGTAAATTTCAGAATATTTTCTGCTTATTCTAATGCTTTTTTATATGTGTATGTTTCATGTGTTTAAATGAAATAAAATAAACCAAACTATAATAGACAGATTTATGATTTAGATTACATTTTTCACTTTCTGTGTTACCTTGATTTTAAATTAAAATTACTAGCAATACTAGTCCACTTAATGGTTATACAGTATTCAAAATAATTAAAGCTCAAATTCAATTTAATATCATTTAATTAATTCAGCCAAAATGTTCCCTACTTTCCCATGAATTTGATTCTGAGCTACAATAGTGAGCCTTCTCAGATTCTTTTCATATACTATTGAGTATGTGTAGTACCAGTAGAGTACTTTCGTTTGTGCTTCATTTTGTCACAATTGTTTTAACTTTCTCTTTTAGGTTCATGATATGGAGTTTGCACCTAGCCTTGATGTTGTGATAAATGAGACGTTACCAGCACTTCAAAAGGTTAAAAGTAGTGGTAAAGCGCGTTTCATTGGTATAACTGGATATCCACTGGGAAATTTCAAGTAAGTGTACTAACATGTTACAAAATACATTATTTACCTGAAGAAGTGTGCTGTGTACAGGAAAGCTTATTTTAATTATATATTTCAACCAGCCACTGAATGCTACTTTAGCTTTACAGTATTTATTAAATCCTTGCTGAGCCATAGGAGCTTATCCCCAGTTTCTGTAGCATGAAGCAGACGAGAGTGTGTCACTAGTCCATCGCACGTTACCCCCAGAAATTAGCTGCTACCCATTGATACAGCTGGGTAGACTGAAGCAATGTAGATAAAGTGCCTTGCTGAAGGACACATGCGAAATGCACATCAAAGGATTGAAACCCCGACCTTGAGGTTTGGAAACCAAACCGTTTCCATTGCGCCAAACTGCTTCTACTTTCGCTTTACTTATTGCTTAATTTCATAGCAGCAATATATCAGTAATTTTATCATTATGAATCATAATGTTAATGGCGTTATATTAAACTGGAAAGAGACATGAACAAATTTAATATATACTATATAAGATTGATCAAGCTGCAATGGATGAAAAGAACAGTAAATCTGTTTTAAGTATAGCAATATTTATAAAAATGACAACATATACTAGATACGGATATATTAGGCCAATTTAAAAAATTAATTAGTTTTTCAGTTCTACTGGGTTTTTTTTTTGTTTTTTTTTTCTTTTGCTGCATATTTATTTTTAAACATTTATATTAACTTTTTCACTTGTGTTACTGGTAGTGGTATATAGCCCTTTCTGGAATCTTCAACACCAGCTCAGCAATTAGTATGAAAAACTATTTCCAAGTATAAAATTTGAAACAAGGTCTAACTAAACAAGAAATATTTCCTATAAAAAAAATGCCGCAACTTCTGTAGCTTATTCAGTTTGTGTATACAGCTACTTCCAAACTTATCCTATTTGTAAATTTTGTTATCGTATTTAAGTTAGCTGTTTTATTCCCTTGTTCGTTTTGCCATCAATGGGGTCTGTTACTGTTTGTATTTGTTTGTACTCCTGCTGACTACAAGTTCAACAACCAGAATGAAAACCACTGAGCCAAACCGCATTTATACCATTATTGTTATTAATATTAATAATATTAATTTTAATATTATTTTATTAATTTTTATTCATTCCCCTCCCCCACTAGCTTGTCTAGGCCTTTCTACTATTGCCGCCAGTGTGTGGCTATTTTTTATGGGTAGATAAAACATGGGTACGATATTTCTCATTAATAGTTAGCCTAACCCTAACCCTCTTCAGCGCAAGGCACCGTATTTTTCGACATCAAATGTGGAATACCCTGACTCTACTACTTGGCCGGTAGTAGGCCCTAGGTTGTGTCATCATTTACTGTGGTTATTTTTTATGGGATTGTCAGTGCATAGGGTACCACAATAGAGCCTAATATACTTTTTTTGCGATAATTTAATTGCAATTCCCCCTGACGAACATTGATAAACTGGCTGTAAAGATAGCCAAAATAGATGCTTTTGACCAGCTCGAGTTCTCAATATTTTTTACCATCCATAACACATAGTTTCCCTGCTTCTATTTCATACTCTCTTCGCAGCCGCTGTTTGGTTCCTAAGACTATTTTTTGGTAATCATACCCTCTTCGCAGATGCTATTTGAATCCTGAGACGTCTTTTTTTTAACTGCGCATGCTATGTTTTTATAGATAATTCACGGATGGTATTTGGTAACTGCGCATGCGCATTGCTTAGTTCGGAATTCCCATTTCTTCGTAGTAAAAGCTACCGCTACCTACAGTTTCTTAATAACTATTTCTTCTTGATCGTTGCAGCCTAAAGGAGAAGCATGAAAAAAGCTATACTTTTGTTGAGTTCATTGCCCGTGTTATTTGAAAAGCTTATTAAATGGAGAAAAAAATAATAATTTTATATTAAAATTAAAGTTTGATTAGGCCATTTTTGGCTAGCTTGAGGTGCCAGTCATTAAAATTGCACCTATGCCCCACTCTGGTTGGTATAGATCCTTGATCCTTCCTGAGGCGCCACTGTATTATTAGTGATAATTTTCATATTTCTCTGCCCCTGTACAGATTCAGTATTACCAGCATAACGACATGATGTGATGAAGTTGACAACAAAACAAAAACTTCGGAAATGAAATTTCTTTTTTTTTTTTTTACTTGGCTTTAAATTGCATCATGGTGTTTATGTTTTTTTTTATTCAGGACCGTTATTGAGCAAAGCACCGTGAAAATTGATAGTATCTTAAGCTACTGTCACCTTACTTTAAACGATTCTTCACTTCTAGATAATCTTCCCTATTTTAAGGTAAACATTAAATTTGCTTTTATGAATCTTTGTTCATTTCATTTTTCAGTCCATCAAATACATTAATAGAGTGGGTAATATCCTTCAAATATGTTATATCTTTTTATTTTTGTTAAATGCTGTAAATCATATCTCATTTTGATTACTAAACCGAATGGCAGTGGCGGATTCAAGGGTGTGCGGGACCCAGCCTCCCCCTACATGATTTTTCAAAATTTTAAAGAAAATTTATATTCAAATTTTATGTCTGAGAATGCCGTCTTGAGGTGCGTGCCATACATTTCTGGGCCACTTCTATTTTAAATTTCTTGATTCGCCAATGAATAAAGTAGTTTAATCAAATCTGTAGTCTTATTTTGCATCATCTCTTAGTCATACTTCATATGAATTAACATATGCTTATGTTTACAGGAGAGAGGAATTGGGGTGATAAATGCTACACCGATCTCTATGGGGTTGCTCACTAATAGAGGGCCTCCTTCATGGCATCCAGCAACAGATGATATAAGGAAGGCTTGCCAAGGTGCAGCAGTTTATTGCCAAAGCAAAGGTGTTGATATTTCAAAACTAGCATTGTATTTCAGCCTTCAATTCCAACAAGTTGCAACAACTTTATGCAGTACTGCAAGGTATGAGCTATCAAAAGGATTGACAGTAATAATATTATTTTGATGTGTGTTTGTGTCAGGAAAATATCATAAGGAGTGATGTTTTGCCCTACCTGATGTACATTCCAAATACCCACGAAAACAACTTTCCAAAGTTATTTGGGTGGGAGCCACTACTTGAGATAACTATTCTGATGTCGTAATCATATTATCAGTGAAGATAAAATTGGTAAAGGTTGGGCTCTGTAGAAAACAAAATTTGATGTACTCGCACGAATATGCACCCGGGTGCTTAAAATATTTTTTTGCACTTTCTGAGGGCCGCATATTCAAACGGGGCGCTTATTTAAACAGGGCGCTTATGATAACAGAGTGGAAATTGAGGGGGCGCTTATGGAAATAGATGAAAATCAAGGGGTTCTTATGGGAACTTATTAAATTCAAGAGGCACTTTTGAATGAAAACAGGTTATATAAGGACATTACGATTGGTGGTGCGGCGGAAAACATAAATGTCCAGAGAACATGGCTCATGACAAGTTATTTATATAACAGCAGAATGGCAGATGCAATTAGTGGTGTGGGTAGTGGTTAGATTGTTGGCCATCAGCCGATTGAGAATCGCAGGACGGCAGGATTATTGCAGGTTTTCTTGAAATGAGATTAGAATGTTCTAAAGGTGCAAATTGTCGGAAAAAGAAAAAGAGGAGTTGGACTAGGCCTAGACAAATATGTAAGAAGATGAAAGTTGGAAATATACTGTCTGTCCAGGAATTGGAGTTCTCACCTGTCCAAGAGAAATATCCTCATTTTGATATTGACCTAAGAAGAATGTGATTCCACTCTGCAGCTCAAATCATGCCAACAACCATAGTCCCAGGATTCATTGGATAATTGACTTACTAAAAAGAAAATCTTATGATATTATTGAGGGGCGCTTATTCAAACGGGGCGTTTAAGGAAATTTTCGTGTTAGGAGGGGCGCTTATTCAAGAGGGGCGGTTATACATAAGAGGCGTTTATTTTGGCGCGAGTACGGTATACGTAACAAATAAATATTTTTATAATCAAATACAGTGCAATAGGCCTGTCTTGGACTGTAATAGACCTCAGTTTGGTATGGAAACGTCCCTCCATAAATGATTTACATAATGTTAAGAAAAGAAAAAAACGTTGATCCCATGGGTTTTTTAACCTGTCGAAGCAGCTGTTTTTTTTTTTGTTTTTGTTTTTTTTTCTTTTATGCTCTTGTTTTACATTATTTGGATCTTTTTTAATCAATAACCCTTAAATTTTTCTCTTCTAGCCTTGACATCCTACAAAAAAACTTGTCAAGTATACGAGAACCACTGAACCCATTAGAATTTCAGATAATGGTGGAAATTATTGAAAAGTAAGTCAAACAGAGATCCACTACATATAGTTTCAGCCGTCTAAAGAAAATGTTTTTACTATGTTTTATTTAGCAATTTTACCTAAAGTCATTATTAAAATACAGTCAAACTTGCCTTAGTCGAATCTAAAGTGCTAATGAAGTATAGATCGACTTAGATTAAATTTGACTAAAGCAAAGTTGAATTTTATTCTAGTTATATCACAATAGCAACTTGACTTGGAGAGTTAGGCCTTACGGAGACTGGAACAAATTAACACACACTGACGGTACACACAATGTTAACAACACATTTGGCCTAGAACTGTAGAAGTGAAGGCCTAGGCTACCTAAACTTACCTTGACAGCAGTATTCTTCAGAGTAGCAATACATTACATTATTCTTCAATTATTACAGTATATTTAAATGTTTTGTTAACTGCTTCAATGCCATTCTTTTGAATACAGTATAAAGAGGAATCAGTCAATAAGCTTAATCGTATTTATATTTGATAAACTAACATTTAATAATTGATTTTTGCAAGGCCATCAAGCGAACATGTTTTAAATACGATAAATTTGGTTGGAAAATCCAAAGACCAAACCAATACTTACTAGGTGAAAGTCTATTATGTATATATTTCAACACGTGTATTAATTGTAAGTAAACCAGATGTGTATACCCCGCCACAAAATGGATCGTTCAAAATTCACCCACTACTCATGCACATGCTTGCTTCACGTTGCACTGCGAGGAGAGCAGGCTATGCTCTGCAGATAGTTTGTATGCAACAAAGATAAAGGATGAAGATAAAACTAGCATATTTTGTTTTATATGGTGGGTTATTCCCTATACCTAAATTTCATAAGATATTTATTTTACAATTACTGTACGTATCTTACAATACAATTTAATTTACTGTATTTACAAAAGAACTAACAAAACCTGAAACCGTGTTTAAGCATTAGTCGCTTGTCGACTTCACCACATGTCTGAACAATAGTGAGGAATGTGAGTTGAGTCGCATGTACAATAAACTACACAAAGTGACATGAAAATAATTTCGACTTTGACAGTTTTTCGACTTAGACACATTCGACTTAATCAAGTTTGACTGTATATTCATTGATATGCATTTTAAACCTATTTGTTCTGTTGATCTTTTCTCACTAGTTATTTTAAACCTTTGGGCAACCAGACTTGGGAAGGAATAGAAGTACAGGACTACAGGCAGAGACTTCAGTCTGGAGAGAGGATTGGCTAACTGTATTTCAAGCCATCAAGTTATGGATAAGATGCAATAGCTTTGAATACCTCGTAGAATATTAAAAACTTCCATCTCACTGCTTGTTCTAAAGTAAAATGGAAGGAAATTTGTGTGGGGCCAGAAGCAAATTTCAGTACTCTTATTAAAAATCTATGTTCTATGGGTCTGCTTTTGGTTACGCACAATTTAATGCATTGGAGGTAGTACTCCACATATGTTTTTATCTTTGGAAAAACAGTGCAATTGCAGGCACGGATTCAGGATTTTCCCTAACCTTCGCACAGATTGGGTGGTCCTTGCAGTGGTGGATACAGAAATTTGAAAAAATACAGGGTCCCCAAAGATAGACACCTCAGCCCAACATGGGTGAGGCTGAGGTAAAAAAATGAAGAATACATCGCCTCTGGATGACCTGCAATGGCACTCTCAGGATTTGATTATAATTTTCAGTTTTTTCTCCGTTCTTTAAAAATAATTTTTAAATATTTACAGTGGCCCGGGCCGATTGGATTCTCCTTGAATCCACCACTGCATGGGGCAATCATCTAACGGTCAAGTGACCTAAGGTTTTAAAACAAATATTGCTTATTACGGAATTTCTGTAAAAGATAAATGAACAGATTCCTGAGACATGCCTTGAATATCAACTACAAACAACATATTACAAATGAAGACCTATATGGAGATATTCCCCCTGTATCGAGGACTTTGAGTGCATGAAGGTTAGCATTTGCTGGACATCGCTACAGAAGTTATTTCAAGGGTTTTTTTTTATTTTTCGGGAACCAACCCTTGGGAAAAGGGAGCAAGGACCCCCAACTACATACATCGAGCAATTAGGAAAGGATCTAAACACACAGGGCAGTAGGCCTACATTCCACAACTTATGGAAAACAGATTTGTGAAAAGTCACTAAAATGTTATAGATTTGCTCTTCATTAATGGGGTGTGCCTGATAAAAAGTGAGAGACAAGGAAGATATTGCTGAAGTGGCATATCCAGGGAGTGCCTTCCTTCAGGGGTTGGAAAAAAATATAAAGTGTAACTTTTTAAATGTTAAAAAATAACCGACAAATTTAAAGTATTGAAGTACCATTCCCAGCATCTATAAAAGTCCCCAATTCTTACCATTTTCTCACATCAGCCTCAACCATGGCGGGGCTCAGGTGAATATACTAGTAATTCATGTATAATTAAAGTGCGCCATTTCTGGCATCTAAAAGTCCACAATTCTTAAAGTTTTCTCGCCTCATCCATAATGTGATAAATTTCGTAGTTTTATGTATTAAAGTGCCATTTTCCCGCATCTAAATGTCTCAAATTCTTACAATTCTCTTACCTCAGCCCCAACCATGGTGGCGGAGGTGGATGGATTGGTAGATATCATAATTCTTGTACTATTCAAGTGCTATTTTTGGGTATCTATATGAGTCTCAAAATGTTCTCACCTGAGCTCCAACCGTGTGGTGGGGCTCAGTTGGACAAGATTTCCAGAATTGTAAGAATTTAAGACCCGATTTTTTTTTTTTACAAACACTCACAAGCCCAATTTAATTGGGTGATTATATAGATAATTGCATTAAGACTGTTATATATAGGTAGTAAAGTTTCTGCTTTTCATAAATGAATTACATAATTTCTTGTATGCAATTTTGGTCTTTGTTGTTTTTCCTTGCGACACTCTTTTTTCATGTTCTAGTGTGGATTTAAACAATGTCCTGGTAATGTTCAAAATATGTGTCAAGGAAAGCAGGCCTTGGTATGATTGTTGGAAAAATGGTCAATACTGAAAAACAATAATGCTGTGGGAAACAATGCCTGGATCTCGGTAGAGATACAAATTTAAGCAACAGAGTAAACTGAAAGGAAAAGTTGGGAGAATAACCCAAAATTTGCAGCGTCATTGTGCTGAATTGCGTATGGGCGTGGTCCGTGACTACCTAGCAGCCGTAAAGAAGCGCTTCTTGGTAGATAAATCATCATTCCACAACGACAGGGGCTGAAATGAACCATAACATTGGGGTAACCCCCTACTCTTCCGAAAGATGCAGTGGGTTCTTTAAAGTGCACACGAGCCAGATGTATACACTGGACCTCCATTTTAAGTCCTTATCCGAGAAGACTTGGTTCTCCTTACCGAACCATGGACGAGGAGCGGCTGGAACCAGCGTGTTGTAAGGCTGTAGCTAGCGGCGCCCCTGCCTTACCGCTCGGCCACTTGACTCGCCAAACTTACGTAAACAGTCAGAAATCGAACCAGAACTATAAAAAAATAGTCGTTCGAAAGCTCTTGTCGAACACACAATATACAATGCCAATTTTTAGAACTTATGATTCATTCAACCAATTTTCAAAGCTCCTTTCCTACTTAAAAGAAAATGAGACAAGGTAAAGTTTTCGTTTTATTTTTTTGAGGTGTTACTTATTATTTTGGAAATTAAGGACTTAAGGGAATAAAGTTAAATGCCATTATATGTTGATTCTGTACAATGAATGCATTGGAAGTATACACATATATATTTTATAAGACTTATTACATGATTTCAATCATTACTCATAGTTAGGCAGACGGAGCAACAAAGTGGCAAAAAAATTATTTACAAAGCGATTTTTGTTGGAAACTGTTGATATCGACCTGGAATACCACCAAAAATGGATTTCGGGCCATGGGAAAATATTTTTTATGACCTTTTACCTTCTAGTAACAAGGTGGTGGGGAGTAGAATAGATAGCCATATCTTATCCTAAACCTGTAGTATATGCATTTTTAAGTATAAAATATCATTGTTCAGTACCATTACATTTTTTTTATCAAGGGTTACGCAAAAATATCATTAATGATGTCAGAAACGGTCAAGGTCGCTGTAACAAATTGGCCCATACCTTAAAAAAGCATTATGTACATTCCTTTTGAAGTTCCTGTTTTTTTCTCTAAACAAAGTGTTTTATGGCTCATTAAATCTTAAATCCGTCCGTAGTCAACCACATAGGCCTAGGTACGTAATATATTAGATCAGATGTTAATTACATAAAATGTAGGCCGACAGT